CCACCCCTTGTCGGCTGTCTGCGATTGCTTATTCAATATATTCGCAGCTTCCCTCTAAACTTGGAGGGCGTCTCCTCCATCCGCAACCTGAGGACGCGCCATGCCTTCGTGACAAGTGACCCACCTAACATGAATACGGCTACATATTGCTTCACTAATTCGGATTATCGCGTAATCCAGACGAATTATCTCTCCAGTTAATCCGGACTAGTGAGGGATCACTGTATTTATACACTGTATGATCATGTGACAGATACTTTGTACGTCTTGTATCCAGGATCTTGTATCTTGCTATCTCTTCAGTGTGGATCTAACAAGAATAAGCTGTAACACGAGGAAAGCCAGGATTGGAACTAGGAACTTCCAACTAGGAGTATCACGGTACAATAAGCTTCTCGTGAGTGTAACCTTGCTACTGGGCAGCCAGATGTCGCAGCTGTGAGTGTTGAATGTGGATGGGTAGGACACAGGAATTCACTCACATTAAACGAGGGGGAAAAAATGGAACCAGTATGTGGAGCAGTTGAAAAGATTTATAGACCCCCTCCCCCTAGAAGTCCATTTCAGTCCATCACGTTAACTCCAGTTGTGACGGTTTTGACTTGTACCTGAGAGGTGCCAAGTTCATATCTAGGTCGAGGTGTAAGCCTTCAGCGGTTTACAGGAGAGGGACATTTTGACGCACACTGACCTGCTGATATTGCTAGAACAGTGACCTCAGTGCCGCCAGTACGGGATACTTTATGATAAACAGGATATGTTTAATAAATTTTGATAGGGAAATTCACTGGGAATGATCCGTGTGGAACACACAGAAAGAGATATTAAGGTAACATCAAAGACCGCACCATTGCTCAGGCAGTTAGTCTCTGGTTTCCCACAGCAGTAGTCCGGGTTCGAATCCAGGTCTGTCCATGTGGGATTAGTGGTGAACAAAGTGGCGCTGGGGCAGGTTTCCTCCGGGTACTTCAATTTCCCCTGCCAATCATCAGTCCACCAATTGCTCCACAATCACCCTCGCCTATCATCTGGGGCTGGTACAATAGGCCAGAAGTGGCCGCAGTAAAAGGTACTTCGTCCCACCCCACTAAGAATACATGTAATAGTAATAATAATAATAATAATAATAATAATAATAATAGGTAATAGGGTAACATCAGATTGATGTTAAGGGTAGATTTTGAAGAAGGGAGGGCAGCCGAAATGGCTCAGGTCGTGTCCAGGAAGGGGCAAGGATCTGGCAGTGTCGAACGTTGGATTCGTTACTGAACGTAACCAGTGGAATTATACAGGCAGGCTCTTTATTTGCTACACAAGCTTCCGTACTGCTTCCTCCTGTATTCCTTCCCGGTCTTACATGTTACCGAATGATACGTCGAGACCTATGTTTACCGCTATCTCCCACGTACAGAACGCACAACTAGACAACTGTAAACCGTTTCCGTTGTTGGCATAGCAGCATACACTCCTCCAACGCCGTTTCATGCAAAACGGATTCGATAATATGTGTGAAAAGGAATATGAATATTTGCCAAATGAACGCAAAATTCGGTTATACACGGTCTGCCAGATACCTTGTAGTAAAATTAAAGTAAAACTATCCTTGTAACAGGCCATGGGGGCTCATAGGCTTGTGAGGCGTCGAGGTTACCGCATTTTCTAGACAAGCTGTTTTAGCCTTTGCATGTTCTATTTTATAACCAACTTTGTTTCTTTTATCCAGCTTATGTAACAGTGTGGATACTCGGGTTATTTCTCTCGCCCATGATGTTCGTCCGTCACAGACCCACAGAACGCGTAGTTTCCGGGGAACGCATCTCTCGCGTTGAGCGAGAGTTTACTTCACTTCACATATCCACATCAGACACGATACGCTAAAACGAAAGAGTGCTCTCTCGTTTGTGACCTAATACAGAACTTAAATTCATGTACACAATTCATTACTATGGTAAGACGAAACTGCTTATTGATAAACATAAATCTCACCGTTACATTTGTTTTATATACAGTAAGCCCTCGCTGATCAGGAGTAGTTAGGGATCATCCGGATTAAGCAGGAATACGTATTAATGAAGCAAAAGATAGCCCTAAAAGAAAAAATTAGAAAATAAACGGAACATTTAATAATAAAGGTAGTACTATAATTTTTCCTGTGGTTCTGTATGGGTGAAACTTGGTTTCTAACATTAAGGGAGGACCACAGACTGAGGGTGCTTGAAACAGGGTGCTGAGGAGAATATTTTAATCGAAGAGGGATAAAGTGACGTAAGGTTGGAAGAAACTGCATAATGAGGAACTTCATAAGGAAGGTGAATGAGATGGGAAAGGCATGTAGCATGCATATAGAATTTTGGTGGGAAAACCAGAAGGAAAGCGACCACTAGGAAAACCCAGAAGTAGGTGAGAGGATAAAATTAAGACGGATCTTAGGGAGCTAGGATGAGGTGGTATGGACTAGATTAATCTGGCTCAGGAGGGACCAGTGGAGGGCTCTTGTGAACGCGGGAATGAACCTTCGGGTTTCATAAAATGCTGGTAAGTTCTTGAGTAGCTGCACAACTGGCGGCTTCTCAAGAAGAGTTCAGTTCCATGAAGTTAGTGCCGATGAAAATAAAATATATCACTGCAGAGCCTTTATTTAAAACTACAAAAAGACAAGAAGCCGATATCTAGGGTCACCTTCATCCAGCTCAAGGCACTCTTGGATATCTTCTTGCATGGTTTCAGTCTCCCCAGCTGCCCTCAACACAGTCTGAAAGTTCTCTTGCTCCTAAATCCTATGTGTCTTTTAAAGTACGTACTGAACTGTGAACGGAATTTTTCATTTTTCATATTTCTATCCGGATTATCCGAAATGTGGATTAACTGTAACCGGATTACCGAGGGCTTACTTTAATTGTAAACATCTAAAGGGTTCTGACGATGGTGGATGACACAGAGTATTACTGGATTTTGGGACGTTTTCCATCGTCCAGTGATTGAGATTAGCTCTTTCTAAGGAGCCAAACTGAGTAGGTGTTTTCCTTTCTCACCTGAAGACGGAAACCGATCCAGTTTCCGAAATGTCGTGTCTTCTATTACTTAAAATTCCGGACTACAGAAAAAGTAAAAAAACCCACTAATTCTGTGTATCACGTGAATAGATCTGCACTGTTCACAGCTACCAGAAATAGCGTGATAATATAATTAACAGAAGAATGGCTAATCAGTCGAACTAAAGAAAGATGAACAATCAATTTAGAATGGAGAGGCAACAAGAGGTTAGACCTGAACAGTGAGGTTGGTCGTGGTTAAGAAAGAAGTCAATGAAGCAGAGGACACAGTTCAATCAAGTCCCTTTAAGCCAGTGTTGAAGGGCATTCTTTTGCATGAGGATCACTTCCAAAGCTGGCTGCACAACATGGAAATAAACTTTATATTTGACTGAATGAAGTTTATGATATAAGTAAAGTAAGCGGTAGCACAATTGGTTGAGGCACCATGCTACAAGCCAGAAGGTCGCGGGATCAGATCCCGATGTCATTGAATGTTTTCAATTTACCTAATCTTTCCAGCCACACTATGGCCCTGGGGTCGGCTCAGCCTCTAACAGAAATGCGTACCAGGAGTATTCTTGGAATATTCTTAGGGGTAAAGGACAGCCGGCGTGTAGGGCTGACAAGCTTACCGCCATCTATGAGCCGATTGTCTAGAAAATGTGGGAACCTCAACATCTCACAACCCTATGGACCTCCACGGCCTGTTACAGGGATAGTTTTACTTACTTTACTTTGAGATCGCGCCGTANACAATCACCCTCACCTATCATCTGGGGCTGGTACAATAGGCCAGAAGTGGCCGCAGTACAAGGGACTTAGTCCCACCCCACTAGCATTAAAAAATTACTTTACTTTAATAATGTAAAATAGAACGTTGTCACTATGCCTTTGCTACTAAATTCTCAGTATCTGGAATTCTGGATCAAAATGTTTATTTTGCTGTAATCAAATTGGCAAGCCCTTTCGGCGACGGGTCGATTATCAATGCTATACGAAGCTAACCCCGCATGGTATAACAGCAGAGGTCTAACATAATCACAAGTGAATGTAACTGGCTAATCGCTGTTTCGAATTTTGATTACTCTTACGAAGAGGAAGTTCTGTTAACTTGTTTGGGAGGACCTTTGGTATTTTCCCGTTCTTCCGAGCAATGAGGGCCCGAAATTCGATCTAATATCTTATTAAAAAGTACAGATGTTTCAAAACAGGGAACATTAACTCAAATGTATCGAATTCTCTATGTATTCTTCAAGGCAAATTAATAAATAGTCCGTCATATTCAATTTGGGTCAAAATTTGCCACGTTTCTGATTTCACGTTCTCTACAAAGTGTTTCTGAAGAAAAGGAGACTGTCAACGAGCTATACACACTTATTTTCGAGCTTATAGAACAAATTTCAAGATCGTTTATTTCTTGGAGGATTTCGACCGGTGATGTAACACACATCCGGTTCACGCTTCACTGTTTTAAATTCATAATATTATAGTAGTCATGTAAATTGACTGATAAGTAATTAATCGTATTGGTTACTGTTATTAAGGGCCGTCTCGAGAAGTCAACATCACGTAAATCTGCTTGGCTTCTGTAAACATTGCCAGGATATCCTTGCCTAATTCATCAGTTCCAAAATAATTATCATTTGCATCTGTGACAAGTTCGGTACTCAGAACTAAAAACTTCGCTTTCAGGAGAGAAGCTGTTATGTTTCTGGAGAGGAAAAATTTGGATTCAAGAGGAAAGAAACTCTGTTTCAGAAGTGGAGAAGTTAGGTTTTAGTGACGAAGTTCGGTTTCAGAGGCGGAGGCCTTTAGTTTCAGGAGAAGAGAAGTTCGGTTTCAGGAGCGGCAAAGCTCGGTTTCAGGGGAGAAGTTCTTTAAGCGTAAACTGGCGTGACGGTGAACCCAAATTTCATCCAACGATGTATAAAAAAAATCGTATCCCATAAGTTTTTCAGTACTCACCCAAGGATAAGAGCAGACACCACTATGAATGAATAAACACCTAGAACTTTGAACAAAACTGCAATTAATCAAACCACTTCTGACCTCAATCACAGTTTAGCTTGTATTTCTCTCTGACAAACATCCTCTTAATCTGAGAACTCGCCACTAACAACACTAAATCAATCTGGCAAACAAATTATATGCCCTACTCGGGTCGGGAGCTCAAATCGAAATTACAGCTGACGTGCGCCTGTGTTAGTGCTTTAATGTCACGATGAAGAGGTTTCTTCCTGCGCTGGAGAGAAGTCAGTGACACTTGGTACACGCACGGCCCAGAGCGAGTCCAACACACCTACACAAAGTGAGAACCAGAACAGCACTGACTGTAGCCGTGGCGAGGGGACCGCAGGCTCGTAGCGATCAGCAGAGGGAACCCCTCCTTGCTCCTCTGCCGCCAGTTTATTAAGAACCATTACATAAAAGCTGCCCAAGATTCATGGGGTTTGGCGCAAATTTCTTCTTGTGTTAAATGCTTGTCCTTAGTCATGCGATCATCTGTCAGCTTCCTCGTAGATGACCCAGGCTCCATGGACCATGCGGATACAAACCCACGCTGCGATGTACTATGTGGTATTTATGCGCAGGCTGCAGGAGTGTCCGCGTTTATTTGTTACGCGAAATACACGTATAAACACAATGCGGGAAGGCACAGGAACTGCGCTATAGAAACCAAAGAGAATATTTCCATTTCAGGCTTGTAACAGCGGTGACCACGTACGGTATCGTCTTCTGGGATATAACGCTGTGTACAAGTTCACCGACGTTTCGAAGGAACGAAATAATTCAATCTTCAAGGTTGAAGCCAAGCAAGACGATACCTCAGCTTACCCTTTATTATTATTATTATTATTGTTAGTGGGATGAAACTGAGTTCACTTGATACTGCAGCCAGATGATAGATGACGGTAATCGTGGAGTAATTGGTGGAATGGAGATTGACAGGGGTAACCGAAGTACTCGGAGAAAACCAGCCCCAACGACACTTTGTCCACCACAAATCCCACATGATCTGACCTGGGCTCGAAACCGGGCCGCCACTGTGGGAAGCCATTGATTCTTGCTGGTTCCTCTCCTGGCTTCACGACCCTGAGAATTTAGGCAGAAATATCAGTGTAATTTTACTAGTCAACACGGCGTTACATCCCAGAATGTTATACTATAAACATGCAGGCCGGCTCTTTGTAGCCCGCTTCTGTTTTGCGCGCGAAGAGAAGCGGAGAGAAATACAAGTGTGATAAGAAATAGCGGGGTAGTGGTTGCATTTGCACTGGAGGAGGGACGGAATATGAGGCACTATAACTAATATCCTGTTATACACACCCTGAAATCATTGTTTAAGTCAGTGGCCTAGACCAGATCCAGTGCGCCTTATGGCGAGAACAGGCAGGACGAAAAGGACGGACTGTACATAGAAGGGTGGAACCGTATGTTCATATTTCTTCACTACAAGAGAGTACACAATTATAACACAAGAATCCAGTGGCGGCTCTAGTGAACACACCAATGAGCCATCGGCTTCCATTAAACATCGGGAGTTCCTTGGTTATACAAGTGATTGTTTCCCAAGGACTGTGCCCCATGGAGCAAATTATTAAGGCAAAAACCCCGTGCTTAACTAATTAAACACTACGCCATAAACACGTAAGAGGGGGTGGATGTATAGATCCACATGTTCTTGACCTCGACACTAACTACAAGTGAGTGGTCAGCTTCACGCCCCGGCTGCTTTAACCACGGGAAAGAGCCCCCGGTACGCACTGGATGGGAGATTGGGTGGACCATACAGAGGGTCTGGACGATTTGGAGAAGAGAAAATTCTTGACTCTATCGGGACTCGAACTCCGAACCCTCGGTCATCCAGCCCGTAGATAGTCGCTATACCGACTGTGCTATTCCGGCTCCTACGGAGTTAATTATTAAAAGCGGTACTAAACTCTTTGAATATGTAGCAAAGTTCAAGTACAAAAGAATGGCAGTAACAAAATACAGGATATGCAAGAAGAAATTAACAGATTCAGTTCGGATAATGTACAGTCTGTCGTTATGTACAGTCCGTCAACTTTTATGAAACGTTACGAAAAAAAATGAAAAGCCTTGTGGCGACATCCAAGTGGACACCTTGGCCACGGTTACTCGTGCACTAGTCCACCGCGCTACAAGTTAATGGTGGGTACTTCGAACGCTCGTTTTTAGATCAAAAAGTATCACAGCCATCCCTTTCTGTATGTTTCAAATTTGGATTACCAATAAATTAAATAAACTGTATTTAAGCAGATATTTTGTATGTCGAAGTGTGTGCACACTTTTTTGGCCCGTCTATAAATTACTGTCTTTCGAGATGTGACGTCGTGTAGCCTGGAAGAATGTTATCGGCTTTTCTGAGAAACATGTAGTCTCCATTCTTTGCCTGAATATTGCACCGAAATGCCTATCACTTCTATCACACGCCCTACATCAGATAAAGGAACTCATAGTCATGGCTGGGAGGGCTTCTCATCTCGCGTCTGTTCCTTCTTGGTCCCTAACGGCTGCAACGTCTAATGGAGATTTACAGGTAAGAAAAAGTAAAGGTATCCCTATAACAGGCCGTGGGGGCTCATAGGGTTGTGAGACGTCAGGGCTCCCACATCTTCTAGACAACCGGCTCACATATGGCGGTAAGGTTGTCAGCCTTACGCGCCGACCTCCCTTTACCCCTCAGGAAAATTCCTGGTACACGCCAAGGCGTAGGTGGGTGGACAACATTAAAATGGGTCTTAGATCAGTGGTTCT